GTGCAGGCCATCGCTTCACCAGGCCGGTGCCTTGGCAATTACGCGACAATCACACAATTCACATGAGCCACGCGCAAGTGCGTCTGGAAATGCACACTTCAACAGCGCACGGAAGGATCAGGGGCAGCCGCAGCTGCAGTGCTGACAACAAAGCGTGCCCGGCGTGCAAATGAGTGCATGCACACCAAAAAGGGTCTCCGACAGCTGGACCGCATACTTTCCAACAAAACATGCAGGGGGGGTACCACCGGGGCCCTGCTCAGCACACGCGGCAGCCAGTGCGTGTATGGACAAGGCAGCATCGGGTCCCTACACCCGCCCCTTCTGGTTCCTGGCGCCCACGGCCACCTTGCCCTTGGCGTTCATGTTGAGCTGCTCAAAGCGCGAAAACAGCTGCTTCACGGGGCTCGCCACGGTGGCGGGAGCGCGGCGCTTGGGGCTCGGGCCCTGCGAGGCCGCCGCCGTCCTCTTCATGGGTCCGCGCCGCGTGGCGATGGGGGAGCGCGCGGCCGGCGCCACCGTCCCCTTGCCTTTGCTGCCGCCGACGCAGCCCTTGCCCGCCGTTGCCTGCTGCCTCTTGGTGGCACCGCCGGGGCTGCTGCCGCCCGCCTGCGGCTTGGGCTTGGTGGAGGCCTTGTTGGTGGCGACCGCGGCCGCGGCCGCGCGCTTCTTGGGGCTGGTGCGGGCCGAGCTGCGGCCCGCCGCGGACTTGCCCACGCGCTCTGTGAATGTACGGCGTGGGTATGCACGGCGCGTCATGTGAGTGGGGGACACTTGGCAAAGTCTGGTTGCAGGGCGTGTCGCTGTAATTTACTACCGCCCACGCAACAAGGCGGTCGACCGCCCAGCCCATCCTCTGTCTTGTGGCCGGGCGGTCGGGCGTATCTCACGGGCAAGCGCTTTGCTGTCCAAGTCAGTGCTTGTCCGGCGAAGCTGTTACACGCCTGCTGTGCGTGGCCAACCACCCCGCCTCCCACAACATGCATGGGCAGTCCCCAGCAACTCACCCTGCTGCTCTGACTTGGACGCCTCGTCCTCTGCGAGTCAGACCGAACAACCACCAGCCGGCACAGGCCATGGAGGTGGGTGATGTTCAGGTATGTGGCGCACCCTTGCATCCGATGTGCCGGCCCAGCCGTGTCACACATTCCCATCCAGACTTCTGCGGCGCACAGCCGCAGTCAACTGCCTATCCTCGCGCGATACACATGCGGGGTGCTCACCCTCCTCCTCGCCCTCCTCCTCCTCAGACTCCTCCTCCTCAGACTCCTCCTCCTCCTCGGACTCCTCCTCCTCCTCGGACTCCTCCTCCTGGGACTCCTCTGCAGCGTCCTCCTCCACGTCTGCAAGACAAGTAGTGCGTGGTCATTGGCCAGGGTGAGATGAGGTGCGCGACGGCGGGCGACTCGCGGGACATTCACGACTGTGCATCAAAACACGCGCGGCAGCACCCGCGCCCAGGCACGCGCGTGCCCCCTGCCATTGTATGTCAAGCACGCCAGTGCGACCCTGTCATGTGACGAGTGCCCCACCGCAAGAGGCGGATTGCTCACCCTCGTCTGCTGACTCCAACTCCTCCTGCTCCTCTGCGGGCAAGGGAATGCGGAGAGCGCCGCAGATTTAGTGATGAACCGGGCGGCAATTGACCTTTTTGGGCAGGCCGGGCGCATCGGAGAAGGGGGGATGTGCGTGCGCAAGGCCTGAGGTGCAGCACCGCATGCAGTGCCTTACTTAAGCACACTTGTTGTCTGCCCTGCGTCCCACGAGACTTCCCCACAACCCCGTTGTGTCTTTGACGCGGTGAGATCACACACCCTCTGACGCGCCCTCCAGCTCCTCCACTGTGGGCACGTGAGAGAGCACCATGGGCAGTTGGGGGGGGGGATTGACAAGTCCGGTTTGTGACTGTTCGGGTCTGTGCCAACGCGGGCTTGCAGCCAGCCCGGGGGCAGGGCAGAACGGGGTCGCACCCGAGGGGCGTTGCATGTCCTGCCCATGATGGAGATGCCTGCCAGGACAGTGTGTGCCTTGGCCAAAATAAAAACAAATACCACTCACCCGCCTCAATCTCCTCGGTGCCCGCCTCGGACTCCTCCACTGCGTACACATGCGATTGACAGAGTAGGATGGGAGAGGTTGTTGTGGAATCCCTCTGTGGCCTGCTGGGCAAGCAGTATACGGCTGAACTTTGCGTACAAAAATATCAGGCGACACTGCAGCAGACTGGCCGCCACAAGCAGGCGACGTTGCTGCGCGCATCATGTTACAAGCCTCCCCCCTGAGGGCCCCCCGGACACATCTCACCCTCCTCCTCAGAGGCCCAGTCGTCCTCCTCCTCTGCGAGTAACAGAATTGTGCAGGGCGCAATCATGTCAAGAC